TGGATTCAGCTTAAATAGTGAAGTAAAAATATAAATAATAAATGTCAGGTTTATTTTGCCAACTGGAAACATTAATGTATGCAGAAAAAGTAGTCCACTTCTTTTAGCACGAGAAATTATTCAAGGACATGTAGGTCACTATAGGTAAAACTGCGTTTTGTTGGGGTTGTTTAGAATGATTCATTTGCAACATTTTTAGGGGGTTTATGGAGGGAAATGGAGGAATCACTGAAGAAATTAACTCCTTTACTCCTTTCTTAAAAGAATGAAAGTTGACAGTGCTTTAAAAATATGTTGAAAATTTAAAGCAGCCTCACTGTCTCACATGAGACAAAGTTTAGCGTTCAAGAGCTGCCGTATTTTATGTACTATATAAAACAAAACAGCATGATGCTTTAATCACAAAAATATTTAAACTAAGCAAGGTATTTAATTAATCAAGTATTATTCTGCTCCTGAAATTTATTTCCTACCAGAAGTTGAGTGTAAATCTCTGTTATCAACACAAAATTATTTTCGCCACAACTGGTTATGGTATCAAAGACAAAGGATTGTAATTGCAGATGGGGGATCAACAGATTGTGCTTAAAACAGAAGGCAGAGAAATATACAACAGTAGGAACACTTCTTAAAAAGTTAGGTTTTCTAAAGCTTTTTATGTAATAGAGACTGCCCTTCAAAGATTTTTTTAAATAATGATTATTTTCCTCCTTAAATATACCTTAGTTATATGCAGATATAGCTTGTTTTTTTCCCACTGAAATAAAGTTTTATATGATCTCATTTGATCATAGAAACATTAGCTTGATATTGTAGAGGAAGTATCTTTGCTCTTGAGAGGAGTCTGGCAAAACCTACAAATTTCTAGCTATTCTTGAACATCTGAGTCATTTTCCTTCAAGAGTCAACAGGAAATGTCTCTTCTGTGCTTTTTAGACTGTTTTTAGGGCCAGGATACAAACATATTTGAGATTTTATAATGCAAAAAATATGGGGGTTTCCCCCTGTATCACTTGAAAATGCCAGCCTTTACGGTGTGATGTGAAAAACTCTGCCTTAATAAGAAACCATAATTCCAGTTGGCAAGTTACTATGATCACATATTACCATTCATGCATCCAGCATTCATATTTTGGTAATGCAGTATGTAAATCTCTTTCTATTAGCAAGTTTCCTGCATAATACAACAGCATCCTATTATGGTTTCATCAGCTATGATATGAAATCATTGTAATCACTGGCATTGATAAAAGAGGGTCAAATTGTTCATTTTTATGGGTAGCTGACTACTTTCTTCGGTTATGAAGATTTTATTTGTATTGACATCCTCTCAAATATGTCTTTTTCATTCTTTTTTCTCTACGTGGCCTTGGGTTTCTCTCTGACCCAGTGCTTTTTGATGATTTAATTTGAGCCTCAAGCACAGCGCCCACAGTGCTGGGAAAGTCTGTACAGGACTTGCTTCCTTTCTGTTCTGGGCTTGTGAAACCTATGCAGTGACTCACAAAGCCCATGAGACACTAAGGATCAGACCTGCTGGCTAATAATTAGCTGGCATAGTGACCCTTAGCAGAGCACTGTTCCAGGGCAGGCTTATGCATATGTTAGCTTACACCAGGAAGGGTGCCATTTTGTCATAGGCATTCCTTCCCCAGCAGTGTCCCACAATATACTCCTGGAAGATCACAGCAGGAAGCATTTGCCTCTTGTTTAAGTAGCATGAGGAAAACCTCACAATGAGCAGGTGCACAGTTTACCTGTACCTGTTTGTTGGAACTTCTTCTGGAAACATGTTTTGGTTACCATGATTCATAGCCAAAGGACTATTTTATAGATGGTGCATTGTACTAGTAAATGTTGTTCTAGTCTTTTCCCAGTAACAGAACAGACTTTCTTTCAGGACCCAACCATTTAGAACATAATAGCTGAAAGATTAGTCAAAGCATGGGAGGGTAATAACAGTATTACAGATACCTTTAATTCTTTTGCACAAAACACCCGTACTACTCAGTTATGCTATGAAGAAACCCAGTTCTTTGTTAATGACAGCTTTATTGAAGGCAAGCTTTCAGAATGAATATACTAGAAATCCTATTAAAGTGCCATCCATTAAACCATTAAAGCACTCATTAAAACTGTTAGTACAGACTTGTTATTCATGAGTTATTGGTCTTTCACACTTCTGAAATGTGTCTGCCAATACCACTCTACTCTTTGTTCCAGTGTGGCTATTAAATCTGAGGAAATATAGATTAACTTTCTTTTGCCAAATTGGTGCTTTGTGGGAGGATAGTAAGGCCACAAAGTGGTTTAGATTGGTGAGAAAAACAGGAAAGATTAAAGTTCAGTCCATTTGCCTGGTTTTGACATAATTTATGTTAACTATGTCTGCATGCAGGCCTAAATATTAATCACTGAATTACACCATCTGGCCATACGTCATACAGAGAAGTGAATGGGGAATAAAGTATGCTGCTGTGATGAACATATCCTCATCTACTTGTACAAATAGCTGACAGAGAAAGGTGCTGTTTGATTTATATTTTTTTGATATCGAAAAGCAGCTTTAGGTCACTTGAACAGTAAGGAGTGAAAAGGGCAAGAACAACACTGAACAGTTGAAGCTAAGCTTTAAAAGTAAATTACTCAATAACCCATAAATATATAATCTATATGATCTATAAATATATAATCTATAAATAATCTATTAACAATAGGTATAATATAGAGCTGAAGCTCTTTCTCATAATGGGTAAGAATCTAGTTAGACTGTAATTTTCTAAGTGCAACTGTATATGCAGAAATGCACCTTGAACTTAACTTTATGTTTGCAAGTAGTTGTAATTATGAATTGATAACTTATGGGTTTTTAAATTTTTCTATATCCTTTTTATTTTTGATAAGGTAATGCCAAGTCCTGCAGCCCAGGTTCAAAACTAGCAGGATGTTAGTCAGCTGGTTTATTCTGTTATTTTCTAGTTTTTTTGTCAAGTGTGGAGAGAAAATATATGTGACATCTTACATTGTGAAGCAATTTCCAGAATATTTGGTCACTGTAAGTAAAAACCTAAAAGATCAGACGGAGTGTCTCCTTCAGTTACATATCTAGAACTGGGCAGGGCAGTGCTTGTCTCATTCTGGGGCAGTGGGCTGCTTTTTAGCTAGCATATTTGCATATAAGCCTCTCAAAAAGTTCTGAGTAGGTAGTCACAGACAGTGTAGGTGTCGTTTATTCCTGGTCAAATAATTGATTTTATTTAAAAATTTCTTTAGAGTATAGTGTGCTAATATGTTTAGAGCATCTTCCATTTGTTTTGAAATTACTATGTTTATGTTCTAAATTATTAATAGAATTCTAAGCTAAAACCATGCTAATTACTTTTTAAAATACTGAAAACATGACCTGCAGATATCCTGCACAAGTTATTCACCTCCATTCACTCAAAAAAGAAAAGAGGAGAGATTCTTGCTGAGAGAAGTCATTATGTAAATTTGATTGCTTTTCAAGTCATACAGTGTAGATAAATTGGTGGTCAGTTGATGAAGAGGTATATTAACATGTCTTAAATATACTATATATGCATATGACTCTTCTTTTCCCGGCGCCGATGGAAATGTGGTCCAAATTCTTTCTCTTCGGATTAGATTAAATATATAGTACTTAGCAGTAAAGATAAAAATATTTGTGTTTATAAATGAAGCAGCGCTTACCTGTTTCAAGATTCTATCAACCATCCATCTCAGAGGATGGTAAAACATTACTATGATGAAACTAAATTCTAACAAAACAGAATAAAAATTCATAAATAGGAATTTCACTGTATAGTCAGAAAAAGAAGTATTTTGGTGGAACAAGGACCAAGCCCTAATATTGGAAGGATCAGGCTGCTATGTTTATAGTTAAGCTCAGCACAGAAGCGATGTCTAGTTTTGAAGTGGCAGAATACCGATTGAGTATTACAGCAACCTGGCATAGAGAGCTGCTGATTGTTAACAGGTTTAAGCAAAGAGCATGAGCTGCAAACAAGAGTTGCATATACATGTTGATGAAACAATTTTAGGTTCTCTAATGTTACAGAAAGGGAAAGTAAAACAATATGTTATTATCTCAGAATGAGATCACCTTTCATATGGGGCATGAGCAGGTACCATCTGTTATGTCTATTTTTTATTTACCCAGTTGTATGTATACCTCAGCCACATAAAAGTAAGTAGTAAGAGCCTGAATTCTCCCAAATGGTGAAGAATGAAGTGCAGGACAAGCTTCAGTAACTCCACCCCTGGAACATGAAGGAAGCAAGAAATAAACAGTGATTCTAGAACCATATAGTTATGTGTATAAATACGAGATTATTTGTAAGTTTACATTTCAAATATGCCTGAATTGTTCTCTTATTTATGACTCAAGGAAATAAAAATCAAGTCTCTTTATGTTTTCCCTGGATGATATGCAGTTGGTTCCCTGAGCAATATTGGTATCATGTGTTGGCCCGGCATCAAAATGGAAAAACAGAAACAACATTATTTTTCTTCTGGAAAACTTCTTCAGGAACATTTGGAATTTATTTAGTAAACAGGACACTGAATTGTTTGAAGATGTGCACTTAGTAATAGAGAAAACCAAAAATATTTATTCCCCTCTATCCCAGTGTTTTTGAGATTTCTGATATTTTTTTCATTCTCTGTTATGTTAGACCCCCTCCTTGCCAAACTGAGTAAAAAGGTAAAAAGATGGATAGCATACCTTTGCTATTCTGAAAAGAAAGCCTTGGATTTGAAAAGCTTATGGTTTAAATTCCTGATGGAAATTTGAGATGCATGAATACGAAATGCTTTATATGTTATATATGTTACAATGTGTCCCAAAGTCATAATTTTCTTTCAAAACCAAAATATTTCCAGACTAAACTATAGGACCATGTGGTTTATAGTCATTATAAATACAACAAGTACCCTGTGCTTAGCTAAAATTTTCCTTTTCTTCTCTTTCTCTCTTGAAGTCTATTGATCCTGGTCAGCAGTTCACATGGGAACACTCTAACCTGGAAGTAAACAAACCAAAGAATAGATACGCAAATGTAATTGCATATGACCATTCTCGTGTTCTTCTCTCAGCAATAGAAGGTAAGGAGACCTTTAAACTTAAACTAATTAAATCCTAAAATCCAGTATAATTTTACCTCCTGATATCTTTGCATGGTAATATACATAAGTGTTAACTGAAATGCTTCCAGTAAATTCCTATAATGACAATCTGTTTCTGATGTTCGTTCTCATCATAATTCAGTATGAAAATTCACTAAAATTGACATGGGGTCACATATAGCACTGAATGCATCAGTCCTTGTGTGTATGCCAACATGTTATCTAAAGTAAATTATCACTACTCTTTACTTACACTAACCCTACAAAGCAAATATAGCAGTAGCCATGCATGAATTGACGTTTTTGTTGATGAATGACATTATCAACATATGTGATTATTGAGTTTCAGTTGCTGAATTCTAAAAAAAATCACCTCAGCTTTATGTTCCCAGGGAGAATTTTCAGAAATCTCTGTTGAAACTTCCCCTTTTTTCTTGTCATTTACAGTCTGAATGTTAAACAAGCATGTTTAAACAAATGCCCATACACAGACATTGTTGGAACTTCAGTATTTCACCACTAAAAGATTGGCAGAGGGCTGTAATGAGAGCTTGTCTGTCAAAAAGACAGCTTTCTCTGTCAAAAAGCTTTCCAAAAAGTTGTACATTTTAGAGTTTTAACCAAAGCAAACTGTCCAAGTTGATCAGCCCTAGATAGTGGTTTTTATCTCTTTTACCAAGCACTAAAGCAATGGGAAGCACTGGTTTTCAGTCAGAGGATTTATTTTCTTACCAGTTTTGCCTTACTATTAACCCACTTCCTGGGATGAAGACACATTTTCAATTTATTCCCTTGGTTGACAGTCAGGAATTAATGATGGTCAATGTAATCAATTATATACTTAAGTGAAACAATTTAAATGAAAACAAAATTTACCTTTAGTAACTCTGGCAGGAGTTGCATATGATACATAAGACGTAGGGAACTGTATTCAAGGTCATAATTATTTCATTCCTAACATGCTACAAGTTAAACTGCAAGGTGTTTTAATTAACAGTAATAAACAGCTTCTTATCTTTGGTTACTCCAGACCTGAAGACAGTGGATAGAGGAGGGACAATATTTATAGGTGTAATCCGTTTTAATATTAGCTGCTTGATGAAGAAAAGGCAATCCCACTGATTGAAGTTTAGATCTTCCCTTATTTATTGCAGCTGCATACTGTGTTGATAACACAGATAAGAGCTTCTCAAATATATTAGAAAATTTAAATGATTGCTTTGGAGAATTTGCATATGACAATCTGCTCACATTTCTTCCACCTCTGCAGCTTATATAGCAGTTCTGACAAGATTTTTTTGTAACACCTCTTAAAATTTCTCACATTGCCTTGTAGAAGAATATAGCTGTGTAGAAAGCTGCTACTACCTGGTAGAACTGCTCGTCTCAACATTGAAGAGAGGGTACTTTCATTACCATTATATGTGATGTAATTCAAGAAAAATATCCCTTTCTGTGTCAGTGGTTCAGACAAGAGAACTAAGTACATGATCAGAAAAGGCCAAGAACAGGAATTGGACATAGGTTCTAAATTGTTATGTAAAGTTCTTTAGAACAAAACGTTTAACTCAGAAATAAGTCTATATGACAGAAGACTCAAGATTTTCACAGGGTATTTTATGGAAAAAGAGTTGTGTCATGGGAGAAAGAAGGGGAAAAATATAACTGCAAATAAATATGTTTGTAAATTCGTGTCAGATATTTGGGCTTAAAAAGTTCTGCCGGGTTCCCTTTCATGTAAATGACCCACGGAATTTGGTTCCCTTAAAGAAAATTAACGTATTCAGAGAATGGGAAGAAAATCTAAGAGACAAACCAGAAAACGTTAGTCAAAGTAATTCAAAATATCAAATTACACAGTACATTAGATTACGTTTTAAAATAATAGATAGTACAAATATGAAAAAAATCTACATTGTACCTGTAGGAAAGAACTGAGCAATTTAAAGAGCAGGGACAGCATACAGTTAAAATGTAATGTTTGATTCCCTTTTTTTGAGTAAGAAATACTACTATGAGGTTAAAATTTCTAACCCTGTAATAGTCAGTGACCCTAAACAAAGAAAAATGTAATAACCCTTTGAAATGTCAGTGTTAGATGTAAAACCACAAATGGGATTTTGACCCATTTCGTGATTTGCGTAATTTTAAGTACTTTCTCAGTCTTCAGTTTATGCTGCATAAAGCAATATAAATCAAATATTAAATGCCTTTTCATGCTCTTATAGTTTGTCTTGAAAACAGTAATAAATTAGTGTTGAATTATCCTTTTAATTTTTTTCCCATTGGGATTTTATATGATTGTCTTTCTGAAATTCTTTGTGTGTATCTTCCTAAGTTTAATACGGTGGTCTTAGCATTTGGTAATAAGTGTTTTTCAACTTCGAAGTAAATATTCCTACAATGATAATATGCAGTTTGCCTAGCATCTTAATTAGTAGTCAGCTGCATTTGTTTTCATTCTACCAGGGAAACCAGTATTTTGAATATTCTTACAAAAAAAATAAAATTCCTTTACCTGTGTTACTACACAAGTTGATCAGGACCTAAATTTGGACTACATTACATTTTGTTACAACTATATGGAGAATATTTGATTGGATTTTACGTATAGGCCTTGTCTGCAATTCCTCAGTGGCCATAAGACTAATATTGTCAGTGAAGTTTGAATAATAACTGATCTTTCTCAGATGAAAAACTCCATTTTACACGTAAATGCTGGGTCCCTGTTAAAGAGTAAATATATATGAAAAAGAAACTAAGCATCTGTTAAACTGTAATCCTACACTGATGGTTACTTTGCCTCTTGATGGTGTTGCATAAATATGGAATACTGTAATTGCTACTCTAGAGTGGGATGCAAGGCCAGTTTTGTTCAGTTGCCTGTCTGTGACTGTAGCCACTATGAAGCAATTCCTAGAAAGTCTTAAGAAACAGATATTTGAAATTACTTCTTTCCACGTATTGATAATATCAAGTTGTTAAAAATTGCATTAGCCACGAAACACAAGGCTTAGTAATGCTTTCAAAGTGTTTATTTTGGTACCTTTTATAGCTCTTATTAAACATGTTTAAACCTCGTTTTGAATCCCTGTTACATTTTTGCCCTCTGTAATTGCATATAGCATGAATTGCTCACTTTGCAATAATTTTTGATATTATTAAACTCACCTCTGTTTAAATTTTATTATATCAGGTGTCCCTTTGGAGGGAAAACTGAGATTAGATGTGGTAATTTGAATTTCCACCTGAAAGAAAATATTACTTTGCAAACTTTTGTTCCTATGTTCGTGAAATCTCATCACTCATGTAGTGCGGTCTTTGGATGTGTCTTGGAATTTTACAGTATACTGAAAGAATGTTTTAACATAGTAAAGCTTATTGTATGCATCTAAATGGATTTGAGGGTAGAGTTTATTGATTAAAAGAGACATAGATTCAGTTAAAATAGGTAGGTCTGTGATCTTAAGCTTCTAAGGAGAAATAAAATACTGGGAGAAAATTATTAAACAGTCTGCATTTTAAAAAGTCTTGTCAATTCTTTTAGGAGACATCGAAGACTAAATGTCTGCCATATGTGATATGATTTGTGTAACACCAGTGATTAAAAAAATTTTGAAAAATAATATCTATCATATTCGAAGTAAATATTCCTACAATGATAATATGCAGTTTGCCTAGCATCTTAATTAGTAGTCAGCTGCATTTGTTTTCATTCTACCAGGGAAACCAGTATTTTGAATATTCTTACAAAAAAAATAAAATTCCTTTACCTGTGTTACTACACAAGTTGATCAGGACCTAAATTTGGACTACATTACATTTTGTTACAACTATATGGAGAATATTTGATTGGATTTTACGTATAGGCCTTGTCTGCAATTCCTCAGTGGCCATAAGACTAATATTGTCAGTGAAGTTTGAATAATAACTGATCTTTCTCAGATGAAAAACTCCATTTTACACGTAAATGCTGGGTCCCTGTTAAAGAGTAAATATATATGAAAAAGAAACTAAGCATCTGTTAAACTGTAATCCTACACTGATGGTTACTTTGCCTCTTGATGGTGTTGCATAAATATGGAATACTGTAATTGCTACTCTAGAGTGGGATGCAAGGCCAGTTTTGTTCAGTTGCCTGTCTGTGACTGTAGCCACTATGAAGCAATTCCTAGAAAGTCTTAAGAAACAGATATTTGAAATTACTTCTTTCCACGTATTGATAATATCAAGTTGTTAAAAATTGCATTAGCCACGAAACACAAGGCTTAGTAATGCTTTCAAAGTGTTTATTTTGGTACCTTTTATAGCTCTTATTAAACATGTTTAAACCTCGTTTTGAATCCCTGTTACATTTTTGCCCTCTGTAATTGCATATAGCATGAATTGCTCACTTTGCAATAATTTTTGATATTATTAAACTCACCTCTGTTTAAATTTTATTATATCAGGTGTCCCTTTGGAGGGAAAACTGAGATTAGATGTGGTAATTTGAATTTCCACCTGAAAGAAAATATTACTTTGCAAACTTTTGTTCCTATGTTCGTGAAATCTCATCACTCATGTAGTGCGGTCTTTGGATGTGTCTTGGAATTTTACAGTATACTGAAAGAATGTTTTAACATAGTAAAGCTTATTGTATGCATCTAAATGGATTTGAGGGTAGAGTTTATTGATTAAAAGAGACATAGATTCAGTTAAAATAGGTAGGTCTGTGATCTTAAGCTTCTAAGGAGAAATAAAATACTGGGAGAAAATTATTAAACAGTCTGCATTTTAAAAAGTCTTGTCAATTCTTTTAGGAGACATCGAAGACTAAATGTCTGCCATATGTGATATGATTTGTGTAACACCAGTGATTAAAAAAATTTTGAAAAATAATATCTATCATATTTCAGCAGTGTAATTTTTTTTTTTTTTTAATGGGAAATTTAGTGGCTTTAAAATGCTGCTGCAGCCAAAAGCCTCTGGCTGTAATA